TCGCCGTCTGCTCCCTTCTCTCTCGACACGGCACAGTCCTTCGCTTGTTATGCCCCTACACGAGCCAACAAAACGGGGTTGTCGAGCGTGCTCTCCGCACTCTGAACGAGGGCGTGCGCGCGCTTCTCTTCCATGCCTCACTCCCGCCTCGCTTCTGGGCTGAAGCGCTCGCCACCGCCACGCTCCTTCACAATTACAAGCCCTGCGCGTCTACTTCGCCGCGTACCCCGCATGAACTCCTTGGCGTAGCTCCCGACTACTCCGCTTTGCGCGTTTTCGGCTGTCTATGTTATCCCAACACCACCTCGACCGCGCGTCACAAGCTTGATGCTCACTCTGTGGCATGTGTTTTCTTGGGCTATCCCCCAGATCATCGCGGTTATGCTGCTACGACCCAACCACTCGTCGCGTGCTCACTTCTCGCCATGTTCGTTTTGACGAACTCACCTTTCCCTTTGCCACGCCGCAGCTACCACCCGCTCCCACGATCTCTCACCCACGCCTCGTGCCAGTGCCCACCCGTCCTTCCCTGACCACGCACCTCAGTCAGCCCACGCCTTGCCGCTCTCCCGAACGCGCGCGCACACCTAATTTGAACAGCGTCGTCGGATCCCCATCCTGCGGCCCACATTCAAACCCTCCCTCACCCACTTCCCCCGCGTCGTCCACTCCCTCCTCCAGCCCATGCACGTCCGGCTCCTATACATCCCTCGGATCTTCATCCGATGGCTCAGGCCGCTCCGTTGCTCCACCTCCTCCCGCGCCAGGGGTCGTCACTCGTGCACGCGCCGGCGTGTTCCGGCCAAACCAGAAGTACGCCGCGGACTACGTTTGCATTGCCTCTGTCGCCGCTTCTCCGACGATCTCTCCACTCCCGCGCTTTGTGCGCGTTGCTCTTCGTGATCCCAACTGGGTCGCCGCCATGCGAGAGGAGTTTGCCGCTCTCACTGAAAACCGTACCTGGGAGCTTGTGCCTAAACCTTCCCGCGCTAATATCATCACGGGAAAATGGGTTTTCCGTCACAAACTGCGCGCGGACGGCACTCTTGAACGATACAAAGCGAGGTGGGTTGTGCGTGGCTTCAACCAACGCGCTGGTGGCGACTACGGGGAGACCTTCTCTCCTGTAGTTAAACCAGCGACCATCCGCACCGTCCTCACTCTCGCCGCGTCGCGTCGGTGGCCAGTCCATCAACTCGATGTGAAGAATGCTTTCTTGCATGGCACACTCCAGGAAGAGGTTTACTGTCTTCAACCTGCGGGCTTCATCGACACTGACAAGCCAGATCACGTGTGCCGTCTTTCCAAGCCTCTGTGTGGCTTGAAGCAGGCGCCGCGCGCGTGGTTTCTTCGCTTCACCGGCTTCATCACCACCCTTGGGTTCACGGCGACCCGCTCCAACAGTTTGCTGTTCACGCTCGCGCGCGGAGCTGACGCCGCGTACCTGCTGCTCTACGTGGACGATATCGTCCTCACGGCCTCCTCCGATGCCTTTCTTCGTCGCATCATCGCCGCGCTCACCGCCGAGTTCGCCATGAAAGATCTTGGCGCCCTGCACTACTTCTTGGGCATCCGCGTCACGCGCTCCGATGCTGGCTTCTTCCTCTCGCAAGAGCAGTACGCCGAGGACGTGCTGGAGCGTGCCGCCATGGACAACTGCAAGCCCGCGCCTACACCGGTGGACACCAAGGCCAAGCTGCCCGCGGCGACAGGCCCCCGAGTGGCTGACTCCACTGAGTACCGCAGCCTCGCCGGTGCCCTGCAGTACCTCACCGTCACGCGCCCGGAGCTCGCCTACGCCGTCCAGCAAATATGTTTGCACATGCATGATCCGCGCGAGTGCCATCGTGCGCTGATCAAGCGCGCTCTCCGGTACATCCGCGGCACTGCATCCCTCGGATTACATCTGCGCGCGTCCTCGACACTTGATCTCCGCGCCTACACCGACGCCGACTGGGCTGGCTGCCCGGATACGCGGCACTCCACCTCGGGGTACTGCGTCTATCTTGGCGACACTCTTGTCTCCTGGTCGTCCAAACGCCAGCCGGCCGTCTCCAGATCGAGTGCTGAAGCTGAGTATCGCAGTGTTGCCAATGCGGTGGCTGAGTGCGTCTGGCTCCGACAACTTCCGGGCGAACTCCGCTGCTCTGTCAAGACGGTGACGCTCGTGTACTGCGACAACATCTCTTCGGTGTACCTGTCCATCAATCCAGTCCATCACCGGCGCACCAAGCATGTCGAACTCGACATTCACTTCGTCCGCGAGCGCGTGGCCCTGGGCGAGTTTCGCGTCCTTCACATTCCCACGCGCCAGCAACTCGCCGATGTGATGACCAAAGGATTGCCCGTTGACGTCTTCCACGACTTCCGTTCCAGTCTCTGCGTCGCTCCTCGCGCCGTCACGACTGCGGGGGGGGGGGGTGTTAAGCTACATGTATATGTGGTGTGTGAGTATTGTATGTAGTCTCTACATCAGGCTAGTATAGCGTACGTGTGTGCAGTTTTCCCTTACGCACAAACGTCCCTCCACCTCTCGAGCATGGCCACTCCACAATCTCCATCGTGAAGTGCCCGCTGCTCCTCTGTATATGTAACCCCTCAGATGAATGGAATCGGCGTGTTCGATCTCTTTCCCTAAAACACTATAGATTCCTAGAATTGCCATAGGAATATGGACTGATTTATCATGGCATCCAACAGATGTTGAAACTCAAAATTTAGATTTAGTTGCCATGGAAACTCAAATTTTTAGATTTGCCATGATGTGTTGCCAGGGAACTAAAAAAGGCTTGTGTTGCCATGTAATTTCTGATTATTTTTATAGGGGCATTTGCATTTCAGCCCCTAACTCGAACCCAACTCAGATCTACCCCTAAAAAATCATGTGCTCAAATTTTCCCCTCGTCCGTTAGGTGTGCTTATACAATGCCCTTCTGTACAGTTTCCACCGCAATTTTGCATATGCATTTGCCATGGCAATTTTAGTTTTTTTTGTGTTGTTTGACATCCCTAGTAATTTAACTACAGAGAAAGTTTGGCATTTTTATAAAAGTAACATGGCAAATTCGAATGTGCATTTGCCATGGCAATATTTTCCATATTTTCTTTGTGCTATTTTTTGTCCATGGAAAATTTGTTCAACATTTTCCCATGACAAAATTTTCAAAATTCACCCATGGTAAATTGTTCAAAATTATGTCTTAAAAATGTGTTATTTTCATCCATGACCAACACTCAAGTTAACTCATGGCAAATACGTTAATTTTTTTTGCCATGGCAAATGTGTAACTTTTTTTTCTCATGGCAAACGCTCTAGCTCAAGGTAGTATAAGAAAATTTTCCACATGGCAATTTGCTCAAATGTTTTTGCCATGTGAAAAATGAATCAAGACTCATGGCAACATACTAAAGTTAGCTCATGACGGCAAGTTAGCTAATGGAAAATTAACTTTTTAGCAGGAAAAGTTTTCATCCTTGGCAAACTTTTTTTCCCATGGAAAATTGTTCAAAATGTATGCCATGGCAAATCTGTAATTTATTTAGTTAGCACAAGGAAAGTCCCCCCATGGCAATTTCGCGCAAATGTTTTTCCCATGGCAAATTCCTATTTCATAGCCATGGGGGAACATCATGCCATGTTAATTGTTAATTTGTGATGTCTACCTATACTATGCTTTTTCTATGTCATTTTGTTAATGTTTTGTTTTTGTACATGTAGTAGTTTTAGACAGTTTTTTATTTTTCTAAAAAACTCTGTGCAAAAGGAAATTGTGTCAAGCCTCCTGGCCTAGGAAGGGCCTGGCTGACGTGGTGAGTGTGCAGGCTGTCGACCTAACCTACCGAACAGAATCGTTCGGTGGATCGATGGTTCCACCGAACGAATCGTTCGGTAGGGTGGTCGTCCTGCCACACATGTGGTGAATATCGGCGTCCAAAAACTACCCAAATGATAAGTGCCACACGTGTGGCACGAAGCAACATGGTCCAAACGCCTCCATAACCATCCATCTTGCCACATCAAACAGATGACATCAGCAGAATCGTTTTGGTTTTTTGAATTAAAAATCCATTTTCATCATTAAATCCTTCTGGTGTGGGATCTTCGAAACTAGATCCCATATTGATATGTTTCGACGACTTTTTTTGGGGGGGGGGCAAAAAGTTGTCATGATGTTTACACTTAAGTTGCCATAACCACGGCAAATTTAATTCATGGATCATAGCAAATTTTGGTAATTCATCATGGCAAATTTAGTTTATACATCATGTCAATTTTAGTATTTTGACCATGAAAATTATTTTTTGTATGGACCATGGCAAATTTTAGTGCATGTATCACGTCAAATTTAAGTACTTCACCATGGCCATTTCATTTTATGGTTCATGGCAAATTTGAGTCATTGATCATGCATTTTTGAAGTAATTGACGACGGATTTATTTTTAATTAAGAACCATGTCAAAATTATTTCATGGATCATGGCAAATTTTAGTAATTCACCATGGCAAGTTTAGTTTATTAATTCCCTTTTTTATAATGTCAAAATTTAATTTAAACGTAGTAGAAAAGGTAATTGAAACATATCATGGCAAGTTCAGTGTAAACACCATGGCAATTTATGTGCAATGCACATGGCAACTTTTACAAAAAAAAGTCGTCAAAACATATCGATATGAGATCTAGTTTCGAAGATCTTGTCGTGACGGATTTAATGGTGAAAACGAATTTTCAATCAAATTTTTTATTTAAGAGATAAAACATTTTAAAAACTGGAAACCTAAAAAGATTTCTACATGCATGCATGCGGTGACATGGCAATCTGTTGCTATAAGAACGTTTGATCAGGACGGTTCGTCTTCTCCTAGACTCCCTCCCTCCCGCCCCTCCCAATTTTGGCACACAGCCAAAACAATCCCAGAAAAATTCAAAGACAATGCAAGAACTAGCCGCTGATTCCACCCCATTCCCCTCTTTCCTTCGGGTCTTCGTCGGACGGCAACCATGGACAGCGGCAACGACGGCAACGACAACGGCGGCGGCGGGATCCTGGAGGGGTACAGGATCTGGATGGGCGCGAGCGTGGTCGCGGCATTCTTCATCTCCATGGAACGGTTCTCCTGCATTCACATCCACACCATGGACGACGAGGATGACTACGACCCTGAGGAGGCCAAGGATCGCCCCCTCATGCTCTCCCGCCCCCAGGCCCTCCCCGAGTACTACTACGACCGATCCGGGTCCTCCGCCTCCTTCGCCAAGATGTGAACAGGTCCTGGCCCGTATTGGGATCATATTGCTATTTCTTTGACCTGTTTATTGATTAGCATTTTTGTGTGTGTTGTTTTGTGATTCATTCAGCCGCGCCATGATCTGATTGTGTCGTCGTGTGAGGTGTTCAAGAAATATAGCCCTGCATTCTTCATGTGTGATTCGAACGGCCGATTAATCTTTCAATTTTGTACCATCTATTCACGAATCTTCTATTAATTTGATTCCAAGACGGTCATATTAATCCTGTTTTACATATTTCTGGCATTCTTTTTCCAAAGGAGTGGAGCTAATGCACATGTAATTTGGACATGCAGCACCATGTTTCTGATAGTTCTAACACTTAGCTGGAGCCCGAATCTTATTAGTTTCAGATTATGTTTCTGCACGAATAATTCGTTTCAGATGTTTGGAGAGAAAATTGGCCCTGGTAGTTGTTTCCGTATCTCAAGTTTATTCCCTTTATTCCCCAATCTGCAAGGCTGCAATTGTCTACTTCTTTTTTCAACCTTACATTTGGTAAATTTGCAACTATATATAGCGTCTGTAAACCGTTGCAACTATAGGTTTTGTGCAGCACCTTTTGATTTTCATCATTTGGTAAGTAGTTTATTCGGCTTGCTAAATCTTGTGAAATATTCAAAATCGGTTGTTGGACAACCGTGCAACTTGTTTCAAATTATCAAATTAGTTCGGAGCGTGATTTTTATGTTTGCAATGGGATTTTGAGTTGTGTTGCATTATGCAGAACATGATGGCACTAGCACAAGATAAGTTGTGATGATTGAGAGCATATTATGGCAGGTGGCGAGTGAGGTGCTCGGTTAAGCAGAAGGCACGGTCATCGAATTTTGACGATTGACGACTAACTTTGATTGGGAAGGAAGATCTGTGGAGAAAAAAATGAATGTAACTAGCTACTGCGTGCTATGTGCTGTGGTCGAATTAGGCCATATGCCTTGGATGTCTGTTCTTTTCTTCTTTCTAATTTCGCTTCATCTACTCGGTGATTTCCGGACCTGAATAGTATTTTGATTACAGAATGAGAAGAGGCCTTCCGTTTGTTTCAAAGAAACGTATACAATGATGCTGTGAATTTGTTTCAATGAAGAGATTTACTGTTACTGAAGTATCCTCCAATTATATTTTACTTGCCCTTTCTTGCGAAAATTGTAGTTGTCATGTCATGTAAAAAAAACAGTTCTTAATAGTGCATTCAGGTCAAAAGGCAGTCCTTTTGATCTAGAGGTTGAATCTGTTTCCGGAGCGTCTTACTTAGTTTGTCGCAGCTCATGTAAGAGAACTGATTTGTTTTAGAGAGAATGCAAGAGAACCGAAGTTAGGATTATCAAGACGGAGTAATCATCTGAGAAAATAGAGTATTTGACAAAAAAAAACTAACATTATTGGGGTCTCGATCCGACAGAAATACCACTTTAAAACTGCCAACAAAGATCAACGACTTGAATCTATTTTTTATTATTTTTGCTAAAAATTACCACTTTTGGATAATGGCCTGTTTAAACTATTTAAATGTGTCCATGACAAACGGGGCCCACTTGTCAGGGCTGACGTGGCAAGAAAGTCAACTCCATTTATTTTAATTGTTATATTTACCGTTATATAGGTGGGACCCATATGTCAGCATCTACCTTCTTCCTCCTCTCTCTAGCATTTTCTTGAACACCTTGTGTGCATCGGGCAGAGGGCAGCATCAGCTGGGGAGGAGATTTAAGAGAAGACTGATAGAAGAAAATAATGAATCTATGAACATGTCACAAGGAGTTGACGATGATGGATTTGATGAAATTGATAAAGTGATGGAGACCGAACATTGTGGTGGATACAAAGGTCGAGATATTGGCAGTGGAGAATACTTTACTCAAGAGGAGCTCTAGGGTATATATATCTAAAATACAATCTTCCTGGAGAACGCTATTGAGCAGGCCAAGAAGCGCAACCTTTGACCTAACGGTTACACCTTCCTCTTCTATTAAAGCATCTTTTCAATAGACTAGCAAGATGCCCGTGCATTACACAGAACATCAAGATGCATTTTTTTATAAAACACATGTTGTGATTGACCCATGCAAGAGTAATCTCATGTGTAAAAACTAATGATACCTCAAGAATTTTATCGGAAAAATGGTATCTCGAGAATTTCATCGGAAAAATGATATCTCGAGAAAGATGAGAGATAAGGTGAAGAGTGGGGCATGGTGGTGACTGGTGGTCGGACTGGGCGGAGGCATGGGGATGGACGACGCCAACAGCGGCCACCATGCCAGATTGTTTCAGAGACTTCCTTTTTTAATTGCTCAGCAATGAGGTTGTGGGAGATAAGGATGAATGAAGCAAGGCCTTATCTATAAATGTGGAGAGAGGTGCGGTTTTTTTTTTTGTAAAATTGTCATAGTTTGCTTTCTATCCGTCAGATGTAAATCGGACGGTCTATATTACAAGATGACAGGCACACCATCATCACCAACTCGATTTTTTTATAAGAATAGAGATGGTGTAGATAAAATAACTAATTTTTACATCGCAGAGGCCTAAAAACGCTGCTTCAACAGATGATGTAGATGCAAAAAAATAAATTGTATCACCTTCTTCAGGTGATGTAGAACACAACACTTGAAGATGCATGCAAATTTGCATCTCTACCTCCCTGGTGATGTAAAATGGCAGTCGCACGGGGCAACCTTAACTTCATTTCCTTCCTACCCACCGTGCGACCGCGTCCTCTCTACTTGTCGCCTGCTGCCCAGCCGCCGCCATGACACCCGCCCACCACACCACGCCGCATCGCCCCGCCGCCAGATCTGGCCTCTCCACCGCCCCCACCGCCGGTTCCACCGCTCCTGCCGCCGGACGCCTCCAAATTGGCCGTTGTTCCATCGTCGAATCGCCGCCGCCCGATTTGAGCTCCCCCAATGCCCCACCGCCGCCAGATTCGAGCCGCGCACCCGCCGCCGCTTTTCCACCACCAAACTCGAGCTTCTCACGCCGCACAGCCGCTGCCAATCCGCCGCCCGATTCACAGCCATGCTACCGGCCATTCGAGCTCCTGCCACTGCATTCGACCTCTCGGCTCTCGCCGCTCGGCCACCAGCACTCCTCTCGAAGCTCGGCCGCTACCGCTGAAGAAAATCTCAAAGAGCAAGACCGACGGGTACGACAATGCCAACAAGGACGAGTTCTGGGAGTAGTTCGAGAGCGACGACGAGTAGACTAGGAGTAGTAGTAGTAGTTCGATGGATGTAGTAGTTTGAACTATGTTTAATTATGTCTGAATTAGAATGATGTTTGCTTCAAATGAACTTGCTATGCTTAAATTATGTTTGAAATGTTGTAGTAGTTGAACTAGTTTACATCTTCAAATACATCATCTGTTAGAGTAGAAGTTTTACATCATCAAATATACATCATCTGTTGGAGTTGGAATTTTTTTAAGATGTAAAAAAGCATATTGGAGATGCTCTTAGTTCTTTTTCTACTTTACCTCACACCCTTGTTTCCGTTATACCTTTGAGAACATATATATATATATATATATATATATATATATATATATATATATATATTCGTCACCCTGGGTGAGGACTTCCTCACCCCAGCCGACCTGTGTAGCATATCTTAGTCGTTGTAAGGTTACATCAGAGTAGAAGTGTTCTGTAAGACAGTCTAGCAACGCAAGATTACCACACTTATGCCCTGTAAAGTTACGTCATGGAAGCAAGGTAGGCACACCGAAACCACCACCGTAAGAAACAAGGTGATTGCAACTTAAAATTATGGCAACAAATGGCGGATGTGTTTCTTTTTTTTCTATTGAGATAAGGCTGCATTCTGGCATTAACAATTTTTTATATATTAGCAAAATGTAAGTAAACATATTTTAATAGATCGATGAAACGGGCTGAAACAATCAGTGGCCCTACGTTTATCTTTTGTTCAGAAGTCAAGATTTTCTCTCTCCTGACTGTAGCTAACCATGACTCCGTTTCTTGCTTAGTACTGCTACTTTTCTTGTCCATCCTGTCTAGTAGGGATCCTCATCGTGCTGCTCTTAAATGAGATGATGCTCCAGCACCAGGTCAGATTCCTGCTCAGCCCAAGGAGAACAAGAACTTCAAGCATCAAGTGATCTCTAGGACTATTTAAAACACTTCTCTTTGTCCCTGTAAAAGAACACTTCTCCTTAAAACACTACTCAGTTGCAGCGTGGCCACCACGGAAAGGCAAGAAGCTGCCTTGGGTCAGACTGCAGTATATCCACAAAAGCATAGGGCACTAAGCACTTGAGTGAGCTACATTACAACGAGCCAACTTTGAGCTATCATTAGAATCTGAGAGATGAGGCTGTCCTGGGCAATTATGTTCCCTGACATTGAACTTTCTAGGAATGTAAATAACCTATGTTTGAGTATGGCTCGTCGCAGAAAGGAAATCTTAAAAATGACTCCTTATTTCCCATTGTCCAGGAATATGGCGAAGATCATTGGAAGCTATTGCCTGTGCTAGAGTCTGGTTATATGTCAGGAAGAATGATCTGGCCACTTGTAATGGTGGTGGCGATTCGAGCGGCTACCTGAAGAGCTAGCGCGCTTCCGCCTGGAAGGGTGAGATGCTTTTGTGCTGTTGTTCTCCATCAATTTGAATGAAGAGCATTGTATCTCTTGTAGAACCTGGACTCCCTCGTATATGCATATTGTTGACCATACTGGAAGTAGTTCCGTAATGTTCATCACTCTGAAAAGCAAAAAAGAAAAGGCAGAGAGAGAGAGAGAGGATAAATTATTTACTTCGATAAATACAAAGGGTCACAATAGAAGGTACTGTAAAAGAGACTAAAAATCACATATATTTTACAATATTTTGAAAGTAAAGGGGAGCCCAGAGATTGCTCTAAAAAGTTGCGACAGTTTAATCATTTTCAAAAGGAGACAAAACATGTATGGAATGTATATTTAAGGCACCACAGACAAATAAATATGTTTTTAAGTATGCATTCAGTTCAATATATAATAGTTGGTTGCATTCATATATGGAAGATAAAGTTATATATCGCAAATTGCAAGAATCAAATATTGCAGCTAATTAAAGTTTAGATCAGAGCACCTCAAAAGCTGACATGTCCTAGTATTCCATAGATTCATAGCAGGTGTCATTTTGGATCTCTTAAACATGCAAACAATAGTAATTGCAGGACCAACAGCAAAACATGCCTTGTGTCTTTGTACTTTTCTTATTTGAATTAGCCCTAGCTTTATCACTATCAATCATCTATTATGGATCTTTGGTTACAAGAAACAAAACACTCATTTAAGATAAATTTAGTGTGAGAGACAAAACATAAAATCTTAATGATCTAGCACAATAATATCTCATATAGTGCAACCTAATCAGATGATATATAATGGAACATTCTCTGACGATCCAGATAATTTTAAAAGAGCAAATTACAAAATACGATAGGATGAGAGGTGCAACTTTTCCAATGGTACTATAACTAGCAGTATCAACTCCAAACATGCTGCATTACCAAAAAAAACACTCTAACCATGCTACATGCTTTGTGTTTTATCTATGGTTGCTTCTATTTCTTAATACCATGTTCAATAAGTTGACTACATATGAGTTTTCGAACACATAGAGTAGATCTCGTAAGCCCAACTTCCATTTCAGTGCATCATAAACCAAATACCGTGACTAATTATACAGAAGAG